ATAATTACTAATTTTAATAATATCAATAACTAAAAATAATAACAATAAGGGAATCAAAAATAGTAATTAACGACATGTCTGCTCATTATGCAAATCTGTTTTTATTAGCATAACAACCAAAAATAACTATTATTTTCATCAACAGTGGGTGATAATTATAATAATCAGTGGTAACAAAAATAGAAAACAGAATATAAATATAAATAATTAAGTGAAATTTTGAATGAATAATAACTAAATTGTTATTTTACAGTTACCCCATCATTTTTAATTAAGGTCTTTTTTCGATGAAATTTGTAATGAAATTAGGTAAACGTTTCAGTTAGTATTAAATCTCTTTCCACAAAGTACTAACGCAAACTTCAGAGAAATGCCTAAGATTTTTCTAAAACTCTGAAATTTCTTTACTAATGAATGACAAAGTAAAATATGGCAATACAGCAGCAAAGTACCACAGAGCATATTTTGAATGACAGGCTGTATTATTCTCAATTGCCGACAGCCTAACTTGAGGTTAGGTTAGATGAAATAGTAATTTCATTGCCAAATTTTCGGCTTTTATCTAAAAGTCCTTTAGAAAATTCCAAGAAAATTATTGAAATATTGCCACAGTAAAATATTTCCGATTTCAATCAACAAAACAATAATTTACTTTTTTCATTTCTTTTCTTTCGTCATTTCCGATAATCTTTCAATTACTAAAATGCACATAAAATGTCCATATCTTTCAATGTTGAAACAATTCATATATTTCATAAACATCAATTATCCTCAAATTTCTGAACTGAGTTTGAAATAGTTGGCAGAGAAATTAGTGCGATTCCTTTTAGCGAAGAGATGTTTGTCAAACCGACTGGGATCCGGAAGAAACATATCGATGATTGGATGCAATCAGTCCAGATTCCGATTTAGGAATGACCATTTCTCGTCCGAACAGTGCGCAATGACGGTAAGTGCAGCCAATTTTAAGCATTTGCTGTCTTTAGAGAATTAATATGCAGCACAATTACTTCTTGTGAAAGTGAGAATTTGTATTTGCGACGAAATGATATGGCTTAATTCTCGAGTGTATAGTTAAGAAGAGTAGCAATCCCCATGAAAGGCAATGGCATAATATTCAACACTGTTGCGCCCTGATGAAATGATGCTTTACTTGAACAGGTGAGAATCTCATCTTATCGACAATGAAATAAAACTTCTGCTCCCACAGTTCTCAGTTCCTGGATGCTTTTGCAAATCCCTCAGCTACCGGAAATTAGCCGATTCCGTTAACGTACTTTCTGAAAATTGTTGCATTGCTCTTCCACCTTTACCCTTTAATTATCACAAAAATACTCCTGTTTTTTCTTTTTTTTATTCATCTATATTCGTTAATCTCTTTCTCCCTTATGCGTACCGTCATCCATTCATGTTTAGATTTATAATCCATTCAGATTTCAACCCACACGCTTTGATAACTAATTTATTTATAAAAAGGCTCTAATGGTGCTGACTAACATTTAAGTAGCAAAAAGCTTAAAATCATTCCTTGACCACACATCTCCTCCGGAAAAACACCCTTCACTTGTCGCGTGGTGACATATCGAAACCATTTACTACGGAAATGAATCGGTTTTGCGTAAGGAGGAACGTGGATTTTACACTCGATCACTAAAATTCCGAAATTGAAACTTCAAAAAAATAACTGGAATTTATAACTTCATGGCTTCTCAAGTAAGCTTTTATTAGACCACTTCCATTATCACTCAATGAACTTTCAAACTCGCTTTCGATAGAGCGATCTTATCATGTTGTGAATAGGAATAAATGACAAAACATTAATAGTTAATAACAGACCAGCAATCAGCTATTCAGATAAGGCTCAATTTTTACCATGCAAGTAAGCTGGAAACTTCAAAAAATGCTCATCTGCACACTCTTTAATTTAACATACTGTGGATCTGGCAAACAAATAAGTTCGGAATTTGTTTCGAAAATAGGCCTAATTATCTAATTAAACATTAATGAAGCATAACGAAGCGACTTGTTCCCTTCAAAAACTATTCAGTGTAAATTTACATTAACTCAGAGAAAACGAAGAAAAAATATTTGTCGATTTAAAAAGATGAGCAGAAAACAAGAAATGAATATCAAAAGCACGAACATTTAATTCAACAAAACATTTGCTCTCACAAGCAAAAGTGACAACATATTTATCTTGTTTTACAATAATTCCACCTCAGTCCTCAATTCTTCTTGATTCTACAGATTTTTCCTGGTCATTGCTGATCACTTTACTAGCCATGTATCCTTCAGTAACTTCTTCAATAAAATGCTGCCGTTTCCTTTTCCGTATCGGTTCCTTAGTCTGAAAACCAACTGGTAAAACCTGTCGTGTATCATCATTAAGATCAGAATCGCTATCACTTAGTACCATGCGAATGGGTGCATCTTCCATTACAGTAGTAACATCCATTACTATGTGTGGTTGCTCCGCCTTAGCCTGAAACTTCACTTTACTTAATTAGGTACTCATTTATTCAACCAAAGTATTGTTTCATCGCACTTGCCTATCAAATGTTCAAATGGGCACAAAATCACAGCTCAATTTACCGCATAAAAAACAGCCAAGATTAATAGAAATTAGAGGACAAAGCTATGATACTTACTTCCGATTCGTCGTCCGAATCCGTGAGTGAGGATGCATCGCTTCCATCTTCCACAGCAATTATTTCAATATCGCATTCTGTAGCACTACTCAAGTTAGTGTTTGCAGTTGCAATTTCAGGCAAGAATTTCCGCAATCTATTCAGCAATGCCGTAGGCTTTTCTGATCGGTCGTGATCCAAAATTCCCGCCAAATCCATCAAGAATCTGAAAAGCAAATTTCTGAACAGAGCAACCGCGGTTTTTTGAATCACTGGGGAAAGAGTCAGTCTCGGTGGTCTTTTTCTTGCGGTTATTAGCAAATACTCTCCCGCCACTTACCAAGAAAAGGTAAGGAAACACTGCCACTCCCCGTCACCTCCTCCCGGAACATAATGACATGAGTGCGAAATCACTCGCGGCCTCAACAACATTCCTCCCTTCAATTATAAGGTGTGAAATAAGCAGCAAAAGTGGAAGGACGGAGAGATTGAGAGTGCAAAGAGAGTGTCGCATTACGATTGCAGCACAGAGCGATGACGTGCACAGAAACAACGGCAGACGTGTAACACCCCGCACAAACCAATGACCCCTCGCACCCTATTCAGGCCTTCCAGTTCGGCATCGTGTCACATAGCATAAGCAAGTCATTTGTCACAATGGTGAGGTTATTGTGCAAACAGTTATCCTAAGTGGGTTGCGTAGCTGTCAGGTTGGTGCAGAGGTAATTGGTAAGGGGACGTTGCTTCTCGGGGTCGAGATCCCATCAGGAACAGGTCATGGACTGTGTGGTAGTCTTCTGCTAAGAGCAACTCAATAAGGCGAATGTCCTCAGCTGACAGTGCCAACAGAAACAGAAAAGGCTACTCTTGAGAAGGACGCCTGAATAGATAAACAGCGCTTTCGAAATTATAGGAATTGAACGACAAAGTTTGCCTCTTCGCCAATATACCTCACTGCTGAAGCGGTGTACACACTAGCAAAGTGCTGTGGAATCCCGAAGCACAGGTTTTAAGGAAAAACAAACTTCTTTCCCGTT